AAAATAAACTTCACCAATAGTGCAAAGAATAGTAAAACTCCTTGTATCTTTCAATTTTGGTGAGAGCTTTTTCTGAATTCTGGTGCCGCACTCCTCTATTAGCATCACTGTCTCATGATATCCTAGCTTGCATGTATTTGATAGTATGTCCTTCAGGAACTTTGTATAGCTAGGCATCTGGAATAGTGCATCGGCAAGCGAAATATTAATATGGAGCTTCTTGAAGACTTATAGAAATTTCTTGTATTGTTGCTCCACCTTCTGCTTCTTTAGCCTCTGTGGAAAAGGGATAGGAGGCTCATGAGGATTGATGGTTCCCTTATCCTGCAATTTGCTTGGTTCTTCCGTTAGGGTAGATTCCTTTATTGCTCATCATGCTATATAGTATCTTCAATCTCAAAAGATTTTGTTTCTTTATTTACTCCTAGCCTTCTCACATGTATCTCAATTAGCTGCTTTCCACTTCGAGTTGGGTTTATTTCAGTGTTACTTGGCAAACTGTCTAGTGCTCTTCCATTCAAAGCAAACTGTCATCTGTCCCATTTGAGTCTCTGAGTTTTTTATGGCTGTATTCTGATCTTGAAAAGCGGCCTCGATTTTTCTCATGAATTGATTATTGGCCTCCATGTACTGGTTGGTCTCCTCCATAAATTTACCGAATATCTCTTCCAGTTGAGGCTTTTTCTCTAGCGGCTGATAGTGACCTTGTGGTCTATTCTGGTTTTGGTTTCTCTAAGAGAAATTTGGGTGCTTTTTCCAACTCGAATTGTACTTTTCCCCAAATGTGTTATTTTCTGCCGCTGTCCCCATTGAGTAAAATCTGCATGCTCTACTCCTTGTACCAAGATTGGACATTCTGCTATTACATGTTCCGCTCCACATTCTTCATAATTGGTCTTCTTCGACTATACGACATTAGCTGATTGTGAAATATTTTCCACCTTGTGAAATAATGAATCAATTTTGGCAGACAAGGCAAAATAAACGTCCACTTCATAAACTCCCGGTCCTTATCTGAACTACTTGTTCCGATGTCCACATAACTGAAGTAATAGCTATAGTCTCAAAAAGTTTTAGGGCTTCATCAATTGTCTTGTGGACAATGATCTATTTGATGACGAGTCAACCATTCTTTTAAAGGCTGGAAGCAATCCTGCATAAAAGTATTGGACCTGGAGTCCCTTGCTAATCCCATGATGTGGACACTTCCGCAGCATATTCTTAAACCTATTCCAGGCTTCATCAAAGTTCTTGGAATCATCCTGACGAAAGACAGATATGTCATGCTTGAGTTTTGCAATCTTGGCGGACGGGAAGAACTTGGTACAGAATTTCTAAGCTAAATCATTCCATATAGTGATGCTTGCAATTGGTTGCGAATCTAGTCATTTGATTGCCTTGTCATGCAGTATATGTCGGAACAACTTTAACTTGATTGTATTGTCCGAGATTCCTTGATATTTGAAGTGTTGGCACATCTCTAAAAAGCAAGAGACGTGAGTGTATGGATTCTCTTCAGTCCTTCTATAGAATTGATACCTATTTTGAAATAGTTGTATCACGTCGGTCTTCAATTGTAAGTTAGGCTGTCCAAACGGTGGATACAGGATGCTTGAATTATCTAAGGGGTCTTGAAATCTCCTACAAGCATATTTCCTTCATCCGCTGCCCCTTCTTCAGTGGCCTGAAAAATTGGATTTTTTGTACGTTAGCCATTTGTTGCTGTACCTATCTATTGTCGCACTACCTTGGATGTAGAGTTCGTTCAATTTCTGGATTGGCTGGGATCAAGTCTCCTTCAGTAGACCTTAATATGCAAATCTGTGAGAATAATCAATAAGAGTGCTTAGATGCTAAAATGAAAAAATCAAAAAAATAAACCAAAATAAAATGAAATAAACAATTTTGCAAAATTTTATTTTCGAATTAGTGCTAATATAAATAAAATTAAATGAATACTCATTCCCCGGTAATAGCGCCAAAAACTTGGTCATGAAATATTTTCTTTCGATTTAATACACTGCAAGTGTACGGTTCGTTAACAAGTAATAAAGTGGAATTTAGAGTTCCGAGTATCGCCCCCACAGAGTTTGAATAGTTCAACTTTATTTACCATAGCCTTAACCAAAACAAAATTATCAAAATCGAAGTTTTAACCTAAGAAAACCCTAATTTCACAAACCCTAATTATGGAAAACCCTAGTTTTGCTAAGATGACTATTGAATGTTTTAAAGACAACACGATGTATCTAAATGAATTTAAATGCAATATGATGATTGGAACGCAAATTGACTTTACTCAATAAAATTAAACCGCACTAGGATCATGAATTCCTACGTAATGATCACTTAAACCCTAATTTTACAACCTAACCGCACGATTGGATTAATGACAAATCAATGCTCCTAAATCTATCCAACACACTCTCTCGAGCAATATCGAACCTATTCTTATATACCACTAGCCTATATCTCTATGATGGATGCATATACATAAGAATACATGTAGTTTTATGAACAATTAACGATTCACGCAAAGTATAGAGGTATATTTCTATCCCCCATCAGACCCTACGATGATTTATACCTTGTCAAATCTATTTCCCTTTCCTCGAATGCAAGAAATGAATCACTACATATCACATAATTACGTGCACTTAATTATGGAATAAATTAATGTATATAAACCATTCAATTAATCAAATACGCGTTTAATTGTCAAATTGCAAAAATAAAAATCCAAAGATCACATTACATAGTTCATCGATCTTCTAATACAAGAAAATCTAGCCTAACATGGAAAACATAAAAGAATACATGAATTCTTGAAGATAAAACGTCACCGGATTATAGATATGTGTACAATCTTGAAAAACTTCGTGAAATCCTTCATTAATCTTCCTGAAATTCATCTCCAAGAAGTGTTTTGCTCTCTTCTAATGCATTCTAACCCTAATTCTGATGAGTATAGGCTTTTATATCGCGTTCCTATTGAGTTCCAAAAGAGTTTTATCGTAAACAAGAAACTGCAGTGTCGGTCCCTAACTTTTGCCTATACGACCGCATAGGTAGTGATGGCAATGGCTCGACTCGGCCCTTTAACCCACGAGCTCGGCTCGGGCTCGTGACAAGCCGAGCTCGTGGCTCGTGAAAACAAGCAGAGTTCATTGCTCGAGGGCGAGCTCGGCTCGGCCCACAAGCTCATGAGCTCACGAGCCACAAGCTCGTGGGCTGAGCCGAGCCCACGAGTGGCTAGTGAGCTTGTGTTTTTTTTTTTTTTATTTTTTTTTTTTTTTTTTTTTTTTTCTTTTTTTTTTTTTTTTTTTTTTTCCTCTTTTTTTAATTTTTTTTTTTTTTTACATTTTTTGCACCTTTTTTTAAAAAAAATTCATATTTTTGGACGAGCCCTCGGCTCGTGAGCTCGTCAAAATGGCTCGTGGGATCGAGCCCCCTGCTCGGCTCGGGCATCCCAAGCCGCTCGGCCCGTTTGACATCCCTACGCATAGGTATAAAATTTTTGGGATTTTCAGCTTCGGTATCAGTACTTGCAATAGCGACTGCATAGATGCCCGTTTTTGAAGATGATCAATTTAGTCCTTGAATTTTCCTCCTTTCAATTTTAGCCTCGTTTCTTCCATCTTCTCGACCCTTCGATCAATTTAATCCTCCAATTAGTACTTGACTCGATCAAATCTTCGATTGCTCCTTCGGTTCAAATTTTGAATATTTGCGCTTTGGTCCCTAAACTATCACTTTGATTCGTTTTGGTCATTTTCGCTCCTTTTTTCTCGTGAATTCCACCATGTCCATCAATATTCCCTACAATCCAAGAAATAAACGAATTTAAGCCACGATTCAAACATTTTGCTCGTGATCTAGTCATGTTTGTGAGTCATATAAGTGCATAAACGCACACTTACCACTCTAGTCTTGAGAAAATTGCAAAATAGCTAATTGGTGCTAAACTAGCCAAAATTAACAATAAATATTTAAACCTCAAGAATCGACTAACAAACTAAAAGGACAATCCTGAAAACAATACCTCCATTTAAAACAACTAAAACGTGCATTTTTTTTAAATGCTTTTGGTCCCTAATCTTTCAAAAATAGCAAACTGAATCCAAATAATTTCTTTATTAAAAACTATCTTCTATCACACAACAATAACCCCTCATCCACACTTTCACCACCAAACCACCCGCTGGCCCACCTCCAAAGACATGGAACAAGTCTTTCATTAGTATCTTCATGTACACATTTCATCCTCTTCTACCAATTTTGTTAAAGGGAGACCCTTTTTTCCAAGTTCCTTAATGATGATATTTTCGAGTTTTACGTGTCTTATAAATTTGCAATGGTTGGTATGTTTTCACGTTCAAAGCCTCCATTGGAAAATGCATGTGTGGCCTTTAAAACATTTGGATTTAATGGGGATTCTTATGACAAACATATCATTATCAATTTCCAAGTTGACAAAGATCGTTTTTAAGTATTTTTCAAGTGGCGTAATCATTTGAATGACCAACAGCCAGATATGGCTGATGGAACTAATATATATGGAGATGGCTGGGAGCAGAACCTTTGGTAGTTGGACTGGGTGAAAATTAATTATTTGCCTAACCACAGATTAAAGGGGACTGTGGATGGAGATTAAAAGGACTATTGACTGTGGAAGTGGATGGAGATCAAAAGGACTATCATAAACAATAATACAATTCAAATATGGAAGCTTGGGTGAGCTGGAAATTAAAAATATACTAATAGATCGCTTTAGGAACACAATTTTAAAATTTAGTTGCCAATTCATTTATGCATTAGAGGAACCAGTGCACGAAGCACTCTCATCATCCAGTAAGTCAATATCTATAGGTGGAAATTGAGAAATAGAGGCTACCAAACAAGTGAGAAATGGAAAATATTATTTCTAATAATTCAATGAAGAAAGGCCGTATTCAAGAATATATGAAAAATACGAGAATTAATTCTTCCTCTATGAATCACGAATGTGACCGAGGAGGCCAAATCACAAGTAAGATGGCCGGAACCCCAGCATAACAGAATGTATCGCCAGCAGAAGAATTAAATTAATTTCCATTAACAGATGCACAGTTATTGCCGAATTTTCATTTAAGCTAAACGGTTAATTATTCTATACTAACTTAGATAGAAAAAACTAGCTAATTATTCCAGTTGAATATTGCTGGAAAAGGAGAAGGGGAATTTGTCCAGATATCATAGACTAGTCAGCTTTTACATATTTGTCCACAACTCTCCGTGGACGGCTGTCAGCATTTTTACATTTCCCTTCACTCTAGGTTGATGGTGTGGTCCATAAAACTGACCTATCTGCATCATTGAATTGTCGTCCTACCATCTAAGCAAGCGCAGAAATTATCGATAACTTCTTCTGTAAACACAGAAAAAATTCTGCACTGTAACAAAGCAACAAAAATGAAGAACGGAGAAAATTATAAAAAATAAAAAATAAAAAAAATAAATAAATAAAGTCTTTTATTGAAGAGAGGTAGAAGTTCTGTAGTGTCCTTAAATCAGAAGTGGTACCTTGCAACTGATATATAAAAATGAGAAGATATACTGTTGGCTACACAAAAGCTGTTCTTTTTCACTTATTCGAAAAGCTTAATCATTTACTTTTACATAAAATCTGGAGCAAAGCTGAAAAAGTGAGCTTCAGCAATCTAATGAGCATGGCCTCGACTGGTCAAATTTCCTTATACTGTAGATTGACCTTGACAGCGTAGAGTTGGAGTTTTAGAGGAAATCTTCAGTTCTTTCAATTATAGACGTAGTCTTGACTTTAAATAGTAAATACTGCTTCAGATTCCTAAGTCAGGAAACTAAATTGTGTACACTGGAACCCATGATCAGGAAATATGCATTCAAGCTAATGTTTATTACCTGCCTATCAGTTCTATTAAAAATAAAAAATAAAAATGAAAAATTGAAACACACAGAGAGTTGGAACCATGAAGATATCAGACAAAGATTTCCCCCACAGAGAGTTGGAACCTTGAAGATATCAGATAAAGATTTCCCATTACTTTTTGTCATAACCTTTTTTATGTCCATCCAGAAAATATTTTAAGCAACAGATATTATAACTATTATGCAAATCGTTGGAGATTATAATACCATGGTTTCAACTTGCGGAAGCTTTGGATTGGGATTCTTTAGCCATGGGAATCAGTCATGCGAAGTCAAATGTGAAAAAGTGAATGGAAGACGACATTCGTAAACTGGCATTGCGCAAAACAAATACCATTTTAGGGACCGCTCTAGGAGGGTCAGGAAATTGCTGTCAAAAAATCCCCCCCATGGACCAGATGAGTTCAAGAATGAAGTTATCAGCTAAACTTCAGCATCGAAATCTCATAAAACTTCTAGGAGTCTGCATTCAAAGAGAAGAAAAGATGTTGGTTTATGACCACCTGTCTAATAGAAGTCTGGACTTGATTCTGCTTGCACAATCAGCTCAGACATTCTATCAGTAGTACCAATTATATTAATAACATGAAGTCTCGCACTCATTTTTCAAATCCCAGAGCAAAAATTTTCCGATCTGTTGTATTATAGAGTACAGAGC